TCAAGGTTGATAATTGATAATTACATAGAATGTAAATTTATGGATGTGTTAAGGTTTAAATTTTTAATAAAAGATGTAATGCATTTAATTTGGGCTTAAGGATTCCAGAAGTCTTGACAACTTGTACAAAAAGCATGAAAAAATAATATTATTATGATGTAGAGGAATGATATTTAAATGTATTTTGTAGAACACTATTGTTGAATACTTAGATAAAAAGTTAATCATTAGAAAATATACTAACCTATTGGGTTGTAAAACTTAAATATAGCTGTATAGAAAAATAGCAGTGGAATGTTTAGATATTGCTTAAATAGTAAACATATTATGGTAGAAAGAGTGGCATTTAGATATATACAAGAAGGGGGACCTGCGATACTCGCGGGGGGGAGAAGCTCCGCAGGAGAAGGAAGCAGCCGCAGGTGAGCCTTCTCCACTGCCCCCCCATCCCCGCACCGACGGCAAGGCCCGCATCCCTCCAAGCCTTCTCCCTCCTCCCCCCCACAGCACCGGCGGTGAGACCTGAACTCGGCCAGCCAAGCTTTCTTCCTCCCCCCTCGCGTTCTCCCCCCCCCACTGGTGGCGAGGCCTGAACTCAGCCCACCAAGCTTTCTCCCTCCCCCCTTCCCTAGCAGTGGTGGTGGCGGCGAGGCCTGGCCAGCCTGCCAAGCTTTCTCCCTCCCCCCCAGCAGCGGCGACGGCGAGGCCTGAGCTTGGCCCGCCAAACTTTCTCCCTCACCTGGGTGGCGGCGAGGGCTGAGCAGCTTACAGCCGCCAGCCAGCCAAGCCTTCTCCCGCCGCCTCCCTGGCAGTGGCAAAGCTGTTCTCAGAGCATTCCCTGCGCCTGCGCAGGGAACGCTCTTTTACTTTTGGGGGACTTTAAATACCCCCCCTATATTTTTTTAGTTTTTAGATTTTTGTGCACATCTGGGGATTGCCCCAAATGTGCAGGGAAATCTCCCTGCCCCCCAAGTGCCCCCGATGTGCGAATTTAGATATCCCCATGGAGGGGGCATGTTGAGAATTAGATATATAGATGTATGAGGTAGTTTAAAGGGTATAGTATTACTAGTATTACTCTCATATCTGTTTGTATGTTTGTCATGTTTTGTTTAAAAATAATAAAAATCATTTAAAAAATCATGCTCATTTGGAAGAAGAGAGCAGTGACTCAAGAAAATGTATGCCCTTCCACAAATTTTGTTAGTCTTTGAGGTGCTACTGAACTCTTGTTCTTTTCTACTGCTACAGACAGACTAACACGGCTACCCATCTTGATCTATTTGGAAGAGGAATGGGATACTTCACATATTACAAAACACTAATACAGAAGAGAATTATGAGTTCCCATAAAACCTGCAGATCACTTTTTATGATTAACATCTTAGTTTTTCACTACAGGTAATATGTTAAACAATGGATTATAGCAAATTTATTTTTGAACATCTGTTAGCCAATTTAACCAACAGAACTGTTACACTCACATCACTTCATCAATTGTTTCAAAGCCTCTAATGTTTTCACTACAAACTCTATACGTCACAGGTTTGTTGTTAAATATGCTGTTGTTATACACATATATTTTGCTGAAGATTGTATACAGATTAGATGAGATTACAGGAGATAATTTGGTGTGAAAAGTTAAAATGTTATTGAAAGACAAATTGCTTAATACAAAAACTATAATACTGCAAGGGTACAGAGATGTCATTCTTTAATAAAAGTATGGGAGTACCAGACCACCTCGCATGTCTCTTGAAAAACCTGTATAAGGGCCAAGAAGTGACAGTTAGAACCGGATATGGAACAACTGATTTGGTTTAGCATAGGAAAAGGAGTACGACAAGGATGTGTATTGTCACCTTGCTTATTTAATATATATGCAGAGTACATCGTGCGAAATGCTGGCCTGGATGAATCACAAGCGGGAAAAGATTGCTGGGGAAAAGATCAACAACCTCAGATATGCAGATGATACCACTCTAATGGCAGAAAGTGAAGAGGACCTAAAGAGCCTCTTCCTGAGAATGAAAGAGGAGAGCGCAAAAGTTGGTTTGAAACTCAATCCGGCCCCATCACTCCTTGGTAAACAGAAAGGGGAAGTAATGGAAGCAGTGACAGACTTCACGTTCCTGGGATCCAAGATCACTGCAGACAGTGACTGCAGCCATGAAATTAAAAGACATCTGCTCTTTTAATTTGGAAAACCTAGACAGCATAATAAAAAGTAGAGAGATCACCCTGCCAACCAAAGTCCATATGGTCAAAGCAATGGTATCCCCAGTACTAATGTATGGCTGCAAGAGTTGGAAGGCTGAGCGCCAAAGAACAGATGTTTTCGAATTATGGTGCTAGAGAAGACTCTTGAGAGTCCCTTGGACTGCAAGGAGATCAAATCAGGCAATCCTAAAAGAAATCAACCCTGACTATTCCCTGGAAGGCCAGATACTGAAGCCGAAGCTCAAATACTTTGGCCACCAAATGAGAAGGGAGCACTCACTAAAGAAGACCCCGATGCTGGAAACGATTGAAGGTAAAAGAAGAAGGGGATGGTAAAGGATGAGATGGTTACACAATGTTATCGATGCAACGAACATGAAATTAAGCACACTTTGGAGGAGGATGGAAGACAGGAGGGCCTGGCATGATGTGGTCCATGGGGTCGCGAAGAGTTGGACGCGACCGTGCAACTGAACAACAAGGCTTGTGAAAATGCACTAATTTAAATAGCTAACAGTGGGGGGTCATGTTATTTTGCTGTATATATCACTCTTATTTCTGTTTTTCTTATTGTGATTTTCATCGGCATGTTATTCAAAATGGCCCAAGATAATGCATGATCAGTAGCCATGTTGCAGTGGTCATTTTTTTCAAAGAGGAGGGCTGAAAATTACGGCAACTAAACCCACCCTGGAAAAAAGCACAGGAGGTTAAATAATGACATGTTGGGTGATCAGTCTCAATTTAGCACTAGCGCACAGTATTGCTAATGTGCCTACACAAATAAGAAAAAGAGGAAGGCAATCTGATAGCAGTGATGATGACACTGCTGACATCTGCCGCCCTAAAATTTTAAAACTGGATATTCTGACCCAGTGCGAACAGAAAAACAATGAATTTAAAGCAGAAAATAGTATGGAAAACAGGACTAGGTGCGGAGCGTTCAGTTCCAAAACTTGGAGACTGACCATACAGAAGATAGGGAGCAAGGTCAGTATGCAGAATAGGCCAGTGTGGGAAGAGGGTACAAGCAGGAAATTATATGCCTCCCATGAGTCCTTCTGGGTCTGCTACTTGTGTAACAGATTTCTCATAAGCATAGTGGATTTATTTACTTTTTCCAGAAATTCTTAATCAGAAAATAACCTGGAAACAAAAGTATGTGATCATGGTAGCAGTCATAGCTTAATCCCAAAGTGTTATTTTTCCAGAGGCACCAATTAAATAAGAGTCAAAAAATTGCATCCCTAATAGTTAACTGTCAGTAATCATTTATGTGCAATAAACATGCAATAAGTAAGACTGAGTCCAGAAAACTACAGTTAGAGCACAGAGCCTAGTGCCTTCCTTGCCCTGACCTAGATGCCCTAGGCTAGCCTGATCTTGCCAGATCTCAGAAGCAGGGTCAGCCTTGGTTAGTATTTGGATGGGAGGCCACTAAGCAAGTCTAGAATTGCTACACAGATGCATGCTATAGCAAAACACCTACGAATGTTGCTGGCATTGAAAACCATAAATCAGCTGCTACTTGATAGCACCTTATACCAGCACCATTACCTTCCTTAAAACTAATCTTGGCCCTGGTCACACGGGCAGGAAAATGTGGGGGGGAGAAGCGTGGCTGTTTGCCCCGGAGCAAAATAACACGTGGCTGCGTGATCAGATGTCCCGTCGAGGTCCCGTTGTTAGGGGGGTGGTGCCGATCACAGGACAATCCTGCGGCGAGGCAAAGAAGCGGCCTCCCTAGCAAAAGGCTCCGGGTTTAACCCCTTCCAGGGCTGCAGAGGAATGCAACGTGTCCTCCGTCCGGTCCCCTCCAGGAGGAGTTTCAGCCGGGCCGCCCTCCCTCCACGCCCTCCCTGCACCTCCCCCTCTGCCGCCCAGTGCAGAGAGTTCCTCTCGAGCAGGCTGAGCCAGGAGTGGGCGGGGGTACGGAAAAGAGGAGGGGGCTGTGTTGTTTGTTTTTAAAAGAAGTGTGCGCATGCGCCGTTGGGTGCTTGTGCGCATCCCGTGGAGACTTGGAAAAAAAACCCACCTTTTAGTGACGGGACATGGGCGGGCGCCGGATGCCACGACCTACCACCGGAAACGCGAACAGGCGCCCGCCCTTGCCCCACAGTTTCCGGAAAGTAGTACCTCGGAGGTACTAGTTTTTTACCCCGCATCTTCGGCGGGAAGCCTCGGGTTCGCCACGGGAGCTCTACACTTCCCAGATGTGGCGCTATGATCACGCCTGGAAAATCCGCCTATCTTCCGTCTCTGTAGCGTGGCTAATGCTCCGTGTGACCACAGCCCTTGAGGGGAATTGCATGGAAAGCAGGATGGGGTTAGTTGCAGCAAAAAGGGGAAAGCATTGGAAATTCCCCCAATTTGCAAAAGAATTTCCCAAGATGAACAAGAGATCACACAAAAGGACCTCCATCTCAAATTCACCCCCTACATCAAAGTCCCTTACATGGTGTTCCAAATTAATCCAGAGGGCCTTTGATCCTCAGGAGCAGCTTTTTGGGAAGGGAAGGAGGAAATTAGGAACAACATATTCTGCCGGAATGACTCATTCTACAACTCTAGAATTTCTGTAAATATGATTAAAAACTTGATAAAGACACAAAAATTCTCCCAAAAGCTTATGAGTACTTGATATTTACTAGAACTGTGCATTTATTTATGTCCCCTCCGGCAACTGGTATAGCTTTCTGAAACTTACAACATTCTCAAAGAACAAACTTGCCAACAAAGGCAGCTGTGAATACAGCATAAATCTCTTTATCTTTTCTTACCTTTTTTCTGATGTCGATCTTAATTTATTCATCTTCCAAAGATCAGTTGTTCACACCAACATCTCAGGTGATCTATAAAAACAATACGAAGAATGTGAGGGCATGCTCCAATGCAACATGTTTTCCTGAGAATTTTTATTTATTTATTTGGATTTATATCCCGCCCTCCCCGCAGGCTCAGGGCAGCTAACAGAGGCATAACACCAGGTAATAACAATAAAACAGTAAAATACAGACTAAATTTACAAAATAAACAATTAAATAATTAAACAGAGTTCTTAAAACATTTTCCGGTGCTCCTCTACTCACTTCCAGATTTTTAAAGTCAAGATGGTGTTCTCAATAATATAGTTGCATAACAGTGCCCCACTGTTGTCCCTAGGCACGTCCCACTCCCTCCGATGGTACCCGCACCAGCGATGACCGTATGCAGAAATTATAGGGCGTTGATGGAACAGTGGTGGTGGCGGCTCCTATTCAAAAGCCTGGTGGAAGAGCTCCGTCTTACAGGCCCTGCGGAACTGTACAAGGTCCCGCAGGGCCCGGATCTCCTCTGGGAGCTCATTCCACCAGATAGGAGCTGCCACCGAAAACGCCCTAGCCCTGGTCATCGCAAATTTGATGGTCTTGGGGCCTGGAACATCCAGGAGATTTTGATTCCCCGACCGTAGTGCCCTTGGGAGAACATGTGGGGAAAGGCGGTCCCTTAGGTAGGCCAGTCTCTGGCCATATAGGGCTTTAAAGGTAAAAACCAGCACTTTGAAACGGATCCGGTACGCTATTGGCAACCAGTGCAGCGCTTTCAGCACAGGCTGAATGTGATCTCGTCTATGAAGACCCAGCAATAGCCTGGCTGCAGCATTCTGCAATAGTTGCAGCTTCCGGATTTGCAACAAAGGCAGCCCAATGTAGAGAGCGTTACAGTAGTCTAACCTCGAGGTCACCGTCACATGGATCACTGTGGCCAGGTCATCGCGGTCGAGGAAGGGGACCAACTGCCGCACCAGCTGAAGGTGGCAAAAGGCCGACTTGGCAGTGGCTACTACCTGGGCCTCCATCGATAACGAGGAGTCCAGGAGCACACCCAAACTCCTAACCTCCAACGCTGGCACCAATGGCGCCCCATCGAAGGTCGGGAGAGGGAACCCCAACCCCAGACAGCTCCGAAACAGGCCCAGGACCTCAGACTTTGCTGGGTTTAATTTCAGCCGACTCAGTCTGAGCCAACCAGCCACGGACTGTAGTGCCCAATGAAGGTCATCTGGAGTGGAATCCGACCAGCCGCCCAACATCAGATATAGCTGGGTGTCATCTGCATACTGATGACACCCAAGCCCGCAACTCCGGGCAATCTGGGCAAGGGGGTGCATGTAGATGTTAAACAACATTGGGGATAGCACTGCCCCCTGAGGTACCCCACACTTGAGGGGCCACCTCCGGGACCGCTGATCCCCTATCGCCACCCTTTGTCCCCGACCCTGGAGAAAAGAGGTCAGCCACTGAAGGGCAAGCCCCTGTATCCCCATGTCGGCGGGGGAAACCGATACCATAAACTTAGTTAAAAATGTATGAGATCATTGGTTTGTGGACTGACAAAATCTGGAAAAAGAAGTTAGCAGCTGAATTTAAATAATCAGAGAATGAGACAGTGCCCCTGGGAAATGCAAACTAAGGGAGAAACAGTCATACGGTTATGACAGTCATCCTGAACACTGGGGCCAAAGAGACAGGAAAACAGCTTGGACTTCTGGTTAAGCAGGGAGCAAGAAACTAGAAAGGGGTTACAGAGGAAGGTGTATTAGTGGCAAAGGTGGCTGAGACTGTGAGAAAAGTCATGGAGAAGAAGTGTGCCTAAAAAGAATACTGATGGAACGAGTGAAGTACTGAGTGATGAGAGACTGTTGTATTGTGTTTTTGGCAATCAAAAGGTTTTGGCTTGTAGTTTACTACTCTCATTTTAGATAACAAAACTGTAAAGAATATTCAAGCCAAAACATTCCAAGATTTATTTGCAATAAAAACTGTGTGTTAGAAAAGACTTGAGGAATGCTGTTTGAAAACTGTAGATCAGCCCTCACAAGAGCTACTTCGAACTGCAATTATCTCATCACAACATCATAGCAACAATTCTGCATACAAAGCTTTCTGGAGCTCATCTTCTATTCAAACTGACTTACAACACTGCCAAAAGCCTTGACAAATGTAGTCTCTCTTTTGCAATAAACAAATCCAGTTTTTCTTATTGTGTCATTGTTTTAAAAGTAAGAAATGTTTTGCAGAGAGCTATTTTTCCATGTTTGTGGACAGCCTTGTTTTTGCAAATGGATAACAGCACATTTCTCAAACTGCAGCTACTAAGTAAACATAGGACTGAGGGTTTTTTTTTATAAGAACAGTGTTAAGTCGCTCTCTTAACAAAGTAGTCGGAGAGTTATTCATCAAAGATTCAGCTTTATTCAACAACTCGAACACAATTCCAACACGGATCAACATCTGATAGCCAGAACAGCTTTTACATTGCAGCTGTTCTGCTTTCAAACTCTCCCGGCTAATGTAGCCACGCCTACTGTACATTTACCAACCAATAAGGTTGTATGCATAAGGACCAATCACGGACGTTCCCGCTCAGGGAGCTTGCTGACAAGTGATTGGTTGGTTCTTCCTGGGCTATCAATGCGATTGGATGGATTTGGATCCTAGCCCAGGACGAAGCTTAACATTGTACCTCAATTAGATGATTCATGTATTGCAATGGCAGCTATTGAATACATTACAAACAGTATCTTTTGCTTCCAAAATTACCACTGCAATTTCTCCCCAGAAAATTACTATGTTCACAATTAATGTGAAATTATCTGTATAATATGCTATTGACAAATAGCTTCAATAGCAAGTTTAACTTAGTATTTAAATCTGTTCATAGTCATTAATTGTGACTGCAGGAAGACTGTTTCTAAGTCCAAACAATAAACCATCTTTTGTTTACTAGAAGCATCACGGTTTCTATTAACTTTGCTTTGCTATTTCTCAGATGTCAAAAATTAAGACATATGCTTAGGTAACACAGAATGGGATAGTTTGCAGAAAACGTTCTCTTAATACAATGTAAACCTAATTGAGCTGGAATTTATATTTTTTAATTGCATAGGTACAATTTTATGTGCTAATAAATTTATGGAAGCTAAGTCCTACATTCTCAAAGCAGTAAAATAAAAGCTTGATAACAAACTATTGCATATATTTCAATTTTTCTAAATATTTGTTTTTTATTGGGGCAGGGTAGGGGGAGAAGAATAGGAAAATCTAAATTCCCCCCCCCCCCCATTGATGATCCAAGATTCCTAGGAAATTGCTCTGAATTTTGAGCTTGGCTGTTGTAAAACCACTTAAACGCCATGTATACCTGCCATTTCCTTTAGATACACTGCAATGTATATAAAGACAATAGGTCCATATTTTAAAATACATTGCCGTTTTGATTCCAGTGTAATGTTAAAAATCACTTTTGCAACTCTTCATGTTCAAAATGGTATATGGTTATAACTAACAAAATATTTTTATATTTGAAGTATAGCTCTTTTAGTTGAACACACAGACCAGTCATCTCACTGGAAAAACAAATTTTTGGATGAATTCATGGATAAGACGTGAATAAGGAATAAATAAGGACCTGGGAATAAGGAACCAACTTCAGCCTCTTGCTCAGTAGGAGCTACAGGAACACAGAGAAACATGGGAGAACATAGGATATCTTCCATGGATGCACTGTTGGATACAAACCACCACCTCAATCAAACATGTCTCTGCTAGGGCAAAAAGAAGTGTCTTAGTGATGAATAAATTAAATGCAACAAGACTGAGTTTATTATTTCTTTTCACCTATCACTTTCTGAAGACTCTGAGAAAGAAGACATATGTGAAACTGTCACGGTTCAGGTGGGGTGTCACCTGACGCTGCCACCACTCTGGATTTAGGTTCCCTTGAGAAGGCCCAGAGTACCCTCCCAAGACCTTCATACCTCCCTTTAGGCCGAATAATTAGGGTTGCCAAGTGTATCTTCGCCGGGAGCGGGGGGCTCCCGGCTGGCGTCTTGTCGTGCGCACGCCGCATGCACATTACCCGGAAGTGACGGGAGGATGCCAGGCACGCTGGGGGCAGGGCCACGGCCATACAAGGGAAAACCAAAGAGTTTTCCCTTGTATGGCCGTGGCCCCACCCCCAGCGAGCCCACGTCACTTCCTGGTGACACGCACGCGGGGGTGGGATTTCCCCCGGGGCCCGATTCTGCAGCGGCGGAAATCAGGCCTCCAAAGCGGGGGTTTACCCACCACCCGCCCCCACTTGGCAGCCCTACAAATAATAGGCAGAGTGAAACAAGGTTTATTTTATAGGAGGTCAAACAAGGTGCAGAATAATAACAGTAAGTGGGTGAAAAGAAAAGAAATCAAATGCCCTAATACGTCTAAATATACTTTCCCTAGCTCACTATCCCAAGTGGCCTTACACTACTCACCCTTCACCCAGGATGAGGGTTTTTCCCCTGCAGCAGCCTTTCTTCTGGCTCTGCTCTTTGGAAGAAAGAACAACTCTTCCTGCTGCTCCAGAACTTTTATTCCAAACCTTCCTCGTTCCCTATTGGTCCATTTTGGCTCCAAAACCTCCCAGGGGCTTCTGGGAGTTGTAGGCCCAGCCTCACCTACTGCTAGTCAGGCTCTCTGGGCCTAGTAGGCCTCTGGTAGCACAGCCCAGATCATGACAGAAACATTAAGGGAAAATTGGAATACCGATAGAAAATGATAAATGTTAGGTATGTATATGAAAACAGAGGACAGACATCTTGGAAATACCCTTTCAAAGAGACTGTAAAGATCCATAAGATTTTTTAAAATGCAACATTTAAAGGCCGAACAAAAATGCTGGCAAAAATATGTACAATCTGGAAAATTAGAAATTCTGCCATCAGTTCATGTGAGTTCCCTAGAAGACCAATATGATTTGACAGGCAAGACTATACCACTGTAACTTTACTAATGCTCCCCATAAATTTACTGATTTTCTACAGCATTTTACC